AATTATGTTTATATATATATATATATATATATATATATATATATATATATGTATATGTGCAATGTCATGAGCAAGAGTTGATTGCACTTAATATTAGCATGACAGTTGTGCAATTGTGAGTGTGATACTGATTTTATACAGCTGATAAATAATCAAGTTGTTACTGAGTAACTTACATTTTAGACACAGCATTGACAGTTACTCTCTTATCTATTATCTATTAGCCTATTATTGCTCCTCCAACAAAAATGGTTTGAAATAAAAGTCAGAAAAGGATCAGGTGTTCCATGTTTTCAAGCAGAGGTCTTGGTGGTCTTTCGCTCCCGAATGAGTAAGTGTTTTTAAACGAATCTGTTGATTAAATGGTTCTTGGACTTTAAAAGACACTTGTCACCTCCTACTGACATAACCTCCAAAAAGAGTCTCTGAAAAACTCCCACCTCTTGGTCAGCCTGTCTGGAGTGCTGCCAGTGACTCATTTTGCACACATAGGTGTACGCCTATTCAAATTTTTGTCCAGTTTAATTCTCTGTAGATTGTCCCTCCCTAGCATTATTATTCTTTATTGCAGTTGTTTATTTGGTTGGTTTATTATGTGTTTGCTTGTGGGCACTATGGATATAGATGTTTTGGGCTAATCACCTGAGCTATTAATGCCATTTGACCAATCACTGGAACCACAGATTTATTTCCAGGTTTACAAGCAAATATGTCTATATTTGCTCTATTTCATTGGGGGTTGAAAGCAGTGTTCTGCTTTGAACAACAATACAGATGTGTGATACTGAGGCTCAAGACTGTGGCTGTGTCTTAAAAGTTACAGCCAGCAGTTTTGAGCATCATGTGCTCATCTGACTCAGAATGTATTCTCTGCCCAACATGCCATCTAGATAGTTAACTGATTGGGGTTCAAGACCATGTTCTGGTTCATGTTTGTTAAATGCACTGACCAGTTTTAGAACATCAGTCTTTTTCTTCAATCTGTGACTCGCCTTGCCCTTAAAGGTGCTGTATGTAAGTTTTTGACTATACTAAAGCATAAAAATACCATAATATGTTTGCAGATATTTAAGAAACATGCTAAGTTAACATATTTGTTTACCTGAAAAACAATGCTACAGTCAGTTATTCTCCTTTGAAAATGTGCGGTCCCGGGTCGGAATGTCGGTCTTTCTTTTGGTTTGTGAAACCCGCCCACTGCCAGTTTACCCAATTGTATTTCGGCACACCGGGTTGCCAGTTGGCGGGAAACACAGTGCATTTCATTTCAGTCATGGAAGCTGGCAAACGAAAGGGGTCAGAGCGGGAAATAGAACTTTCTGCCCATCCTAAAAAGCCTCGACATCCATCCAAAAAACGTTATGATCAACAACGGTATAATAAAAGCAGAATAAATATTGGAGATGCGTTTGAGAGATGGTTGTTGGTGTCGTCAATCTGGCAACCCTCTCAGCCTCAAGTCTGAGGAGGAGGGACCGGGTGAAAAAAACCCTCTCCAATATTTAGAATTTGGACTGCAATACCTAGTTCAACCACTCGGTGTCAATCCTACATGCAGCACCTTTAATGGTTCTACATTTGATGTACAGAAGCTTTGCCTTTTATTTTTAACATAACCTTTGAAGAGCAATAGCTCTCACTCAGAGTAAACTTTGTAACTTACTCAAAATGTACTAATTTACGATTAGTACACTTCAGTATAGGGAGCAATCCTAGTTGCTTATTAACATGCCTTTTTTATTAACATATTGGCTGTTTATTAGTATTAGAAAGCACATATTTTGCATGAGCATATTCTACATCCCTTATCCTACCCAATACCTAAACTTAACAGCTACCTTACTAACTATTAATAAGCAGCAAATTAGTAGTTTAGGCAAAAGTCGTAGTTAATGGTTTATTTATAGCGAGAATTAGACCTTAAAATAAAGTGTGACCTAATTTACTTACTACTACTTGTGCACTTTATTTCAAGGCAAAGCATTCATCAGTTCTCAAATCTCATTTGCATGTGCACACATTCAAATCTAGTGTCTGAAAAATGTCTCCTTTTGTGTTCCATCAGAAAAAGAGAAAATATGTGTTTGAAATGACACAAATGTTGTTTTTGGGTAGTCATTTCTTTGCGATAAAGCAACTTTGAATTGGATCTATTTGAATGTTCAGTGGCTCTGTCACAAAACATTATGAGCTGCCTACCTAGACAGCATTTTTGTGGTGCATGATCCCCAAAAATGCTGTCTAGGTAAGCAGCCTGTCTGTATGTCTGCCAGGCAATTTGTAGTCTTGATTCTTGCTTTGTTTGACTCGTTCTTTTCCATCATAATCAGATGCACTCATGAACCTTAACACAGCAACACACCATTACCCTCCTACATGTTATACACACTAACTGTTCCATCTGGAAAAATTAAGTAGGCTTAGTGGGACGTGTGGCATCTCTTTTGGGGTTGGTGGAAATCACACACATACTGTCTTCTCTGACTTTCTCTCCTTCTGTCTTTCCTTTGAACAGAAGTAAGTAAAAGAAGGAATAATTTTCTCAAAAAAGTAAAAAAAAAGTAAAAAGGTGTACTCTTTTCTCTGCCATTCACCCTGCCCCCTTAGGCGGTAAATCTGTATCGGTCAATTGAAAAGAGATTGTTTCTTTTTTCATTCATAACCATCATGTAGATACTATAAGTAGAGTTTGTGAACGAATCATTCTTTTGAGTTAGGTCATTTCAAGTAACCGGTTCACAAAATTCATTAACCATGAGTCTGATTTATCTTGTTCTTGAGTTCAACTCCTTTCTCAATGATTCAGTCGCGGCATTTTTGGATTTAAGTAACAAGTAACAACTAAATAAAGGACAGTCTAATCATGTCACTTCAATCTACAACACGTTCCAACACACAGTTCATTGCATTTCATCAGTTCTCTTGCACTGTTTGCTTGGGATTGTATGTGTTTGTTACATTTTATTATCAGAAATGTTACATTGGTATTTGCTGGTGGAAACATCAAAACACTCCACAAAACCACTTCCGGGAAATTCAGTCACATTCTCCTTAACCACAAAAGCAGTTTGCATCTCATATGTTCCAGTTTGATATTAACTAATTATTTTGAAATTTTTCTGGTATTAATGAATTAATCCAGCACTTCTTGAGGCTTACTTGCTGAAATAAATCATGTAAATTCTTAGCATAAAGAAGACGTCATATCCATAATGTGCATTACATGGCTAGTGTCCAAAAATGAAGCAGCTGGTCATAACATCAGTCTGCAAAACCCTGGAAAGGTAACCATGGAAACACAGACGGACGTTTGGAACATTCTGGGATTATATTTCACTTGCTTTTTTGACTGGGATTCACCTTTAAGCTGGAGGGTTTGCTGAGGTGAAAATATCTCGTTTATTTCTAGATGGTGTCGTGTCATCCTGTTTTGCTCACCCTCTGTCAGATTTGCGCTGAGAGCAGACATGCTGTATGGGGCTCATCTCATAGAGACGTGCTTATGCCATCAGACGTTGCCTTGACTGCCCCGCCTGCAATCCAGACGTGTTCTAGAGTCTGTATCCTAAACTGTATAAGGTAAATGTCAGAAACTGTATTATAATATTGCAGGTAAAATGTCACATGTTGAGGAACAAAGCAGAACAAAGACAACAGTTTGTGTGTTGGCTGTAGAGAAGGTGGTGCAGTATTAACTTTTGCTAATTTATCGGTTTGAGATTTGGTTTATTGCTGTAAATAATGAACATGGCCTAAAATTTCAGGATTTTTGTTTTGTTGTTTTGCTTTATTTCTACATTTCAATTGAGGGATTCATCTTACATTATACTCCAGGCTTCACCCAAGTTACTAGAGCACATTCGCAGAAGCATTCTCCTCAAAAATGACAAACAGATTTCATTACACCAAATACACAAAATAATGTTTTTAGCAGCATCATATGACCCCTTTAAACTAAAAGACATAAGATGAAAATTGTGTACATATTGAATGTTAGCTTACTTAGTCTGCTCAAGTCCACATATTATACAAACAAGAAACTGAAACTATGCTTCTAACCACAGATAGAGAGCTGTAGTTCCAACCACACAACTTTGTGACGAATGTTCATTAGAAGTATGATTTTGGGAAAGAAAGTATCGTTGAACTATGTTGGTACGATGAAACTTGCTTTTGGAAAACACACCCCTGAATA